TAAGTGATAAAAAGTCCCTCCCTTCTGGGATACAAGAGCCTAATCTAGAAGCCAACCACATAAGCAGTTATAATATAGGGTGATAGGGACTCAAATGGAACTACATTCTGTGTCTGGGATGGCAAATAGGTGCCATCTCTAATCAATTAGTAGGAGCTCCCTGGAGTGCTGCTTTGAAAAGGATTCTAAAGCTATATCCAGGCTTGTGGGAAAGAGTGCTGTGATCAATGAGTGATTTCTGCCACCAATCTAGGAGGGAGTAATAACAGTACATGTGCCATCCCTGCCGTAAATGTCACAGGAGCACTGAGAACCGAGCAAATAGCTTGGTCTTGGGATAGAATAAGGGATCTGAGCCAGGCATGGTGGTGTGCACCTGTAGTCGTAGCTAGTCAAGAGGTTGAGGTGGGAGGATTGCTTGAGCCCAGGAGTTGGAGGCTGTGGAGAGCTATGATCACACCACTGCACTCCAACCTGGGTGACAGAGCAAGACCCTGTCTCTAAAAAATAAATTTTTTAAAAAAGAGGATCTGCTGAAAACCTCATAGAAGGGATAGCATTTGGTTCTTAAGGAATGGACAGGAAAGCGTTAGAAAGAAAAAAGAAACAACATATGAGGTATATTAGGTGAGAGATTGGGTAGGAAGAATTACAAGGAGTTTTCTGTGGCTGTTGCCCAGGGTAGCAGTAGAAATCAGGCTGGACGGGGAGACAGAGGCTGAAGAGGTAGGCAGCCGAGGGCCTTCATTCCTGAGTTCATGAGTGACCTGTATCTTAAGCACACATTTCCCACCTCCCACAGCATTTCCAGCGGCCCCATCCAGAAGCCTGGCATCTTCATCAGCCACGTGAAACCTGGCTCCCTGTCTGCTGAGGTGGGATTGGAGGTGAGTGACACTGGACCGGCCCCAGTGGGGGCCCACTGGAAACTGGGTCAGACTGTGATCCCGCGGTGACAGGGGCAGGTGCCTTTCCACATGGCCCTCTTTCAGCGGTCACTGATCAGGAGGAGCCCTACCCACCCTGCAGAGAAGGCTTCACAGAGTGGGGACATTTGACCCTTCTGCAGCCTTCCATAGCTCTGATGGTTGTTGGTCGTGAGCTTGGGAATGTCATAATGATAATCAAAGAGCGGACCTTCAGGGTCCACTTGCATCAGACATTGTTCCACGCCCTTTACACTTCACAAGAACGCTGAGGATTAAGTGCCACCATTATCCCCACTTTACATATGAGGAAACTGAGACCCAGAGAAAGTATATGATTTTTCTGAAATCGTGTACCTAGCATGGTAGGACTGGAATTCAAACCTAGGTGGTCTCATCCCAAAGCAGGAACCCTTAACCTCTTCTTTGGACAAGTTACTTCATGTCTCTGTGCTTCAGTTTCCTTACCTATAAGATGGGGATAATAAAGCCTTTCTTACAAGGTTGTTGTGTGGGTTAAAGTAATTAATATGTATACTAGAACTGTGCCAAGCACACTGTAAGTGATCAGTGAATGTTAGCTATTCTGTTATGATGATTCAACACAGCCTCTGCTAAATGAGAAGCTCAAAAGTTTCCGCATCTACAAACTGTAATTTCTAAAGCAAGTGTCATCAAATTTAGCCAAAAAAAGAACATGTAATGGTATAATATTTGATAGTTGATAAGGTAGTTATGAAGTAGGGGAGTGCCAGGGTCAGCTTTAAGCCCTCCCAGAGCTCCACCAGAGCTTTCCAACTGCTCCATTCATCAGGAGGAACTGAGGTACAGCCACTTGAAGACCCAGCATCTGACCCGGAACCCCTGGGGGCGCCCGTCCTGCAGATGAACGAGTGTACAGATAGCGTAAACACACTCATCTTTTTCCACTTTCCCACCAGACAGGGGACCAGATTGTCGAAGTGAATGGCATCGACTTCTCTAACCTGGACCACAAGGAGGTGAGATGTAGGGGTCTTCACCTGCTGGCCTTTGTCATCTCCACACCCCACTTCTCACCCCCACCACCCTGAAGCCTGGGGCCTTCTGTGCTCTCTGCCTGGACTGCTCTGGTCTGTCAGGCCTCGATCCACTGTCCTTCTGTCCCCACAGGCTGTGAACGTGCTGAAGAGTAGCCGCAGCCTGACCATCTCCATCGTAGCTGGAGCTGTAAGTCCAGAATGAGCTGGTGGGAGCCCCTTGACCCTCATCCCCAGCCCCTCTGACCTTTGATCTCTGCCACACACTCCCAGGGTGGCAGGTCTCCTTCCCTGAAGCTCTGACAGAGCAGACGGAGGGAGAGGACTTCTGCCCAGCAACAAGTTTGGGTCAGGGATTGCGGGAGCCACTGTGCCTGATGGTGCTGAGAAGACCACCTGCATCTCGGCCCCCACGGGTGTGGCAGGGGATCCCCAGGGGCTGAGCAAGGGGCCTCTTTTCTCCCACGAGGGCCGGGAGCTGTTCATGACAGACCGGGAGCGGCTGGCAGAGGCGCGGCAGCGTGAGCTGCAGCGGCAGGAGCTCCTCATGCAGAAGCGGCTGGCGATGGAGTCCAACAAGATCCTCCAGGAGCAGCAGGAGATGGAGCGGCAGTGAGTGCAGCCAGCCCTGGGTGCCCTGCCCCACCATACAACCCCACCTAGCTTGTGTCCTGCCTGCTGTGTCCCCAGCTAATTTCCTCCTCCTCCCTGGAGGCCAGTCCTCAGACCAGATGAGTTTGGTGGTGGGTCAGTGTATCCATCCTTGGCCCCTTCCTCCTTGCTGAGCAGAGACCCCTAACTTCCAAGATTCCAAGAATGTGGAAAATAAGCATCCTACTAGCAGTAGGCTCTAGCTAACTAGGATTAACTACTAGCTAACATTTGTCAAGTACCTCTATAAGGCTGGCGTTGTATTAGGGCCTTGTTTATGTTTCTTAATTCCCACAATAGCCCTCGGAGGTAGAGGTAGAGAGTATTAACCCCATTTTACAGGTGTGGAGACTGACACTCAGAGAGGTGAAGCCACTTGTGTCCAAAGTCACACGTGGCCAAGCTGGGATCACCCCCAGGCAATCTGGCAAGTCCCCACAGGGCTGCCCTGCCTATAGTGATAAAGCTCGTCCCTGTCCAGGACGATTGAAATGATGACCTAAGAGAATAAATGGGGTGAGCAATTCATAAATCAAAAACTACTGTCAAGATCCAAACCCAAATACATTCTA